CTTTCGAAGGTACTAAAAGCAATACAGGAATTTTTTACAATTTAGAGAAATTTTATATAAGATGAACAAATCCATTTTTCAAATTTTAGGACATAAATGCTCTCAGCAGCAAGTATGAAAATCTAGGTTCGTGCTTGATCATTTACTTTTAAAATGAAGAACAAACAGAAAGTAGTATGGCAACAAGAGAAGGCTCTGGATCTGTAAATACAATTTTGATTATGCAGCAAAACTGGTTTATAACTGCCTATAGAATATTTTTTTGAAAACTGAAAGCTTAAAGTTAATTTATAAGATTTAGACTGTTACCTGAAACTGATTCATAGCTTCTATGTATAGAAATATATTGTGAAAAGAGCAATCTAAAGCTTCATATTTTTCAATGTTTTCGATGCATACCCCTAATTTGCAAACAACGTTTAGAAAACCCGTTCTAGATCTCGATTTGCGTAGAAATTTGCAATTTCTTAAGAGCATTTTTTCTGGCGGACAAACTATAACCAAGCTCGACTATTTATGTCATTATTCGAAATTTGTATTCTTGATTAGTGAAGCAAAACATTTTAAATCACTAAGATTAGTGACTGCCTTCCATAAACTAATGTTATGTTGCATTTTGGAAGACGATAATTAGTTTAGCGAGTAGTTATATTATCTACAGACTTCACAATTTGTGTCTTCAAAGTGTATGTAAGGTGCTTATGTGATATACTTGTGCTACGATCGGTGTTGAAATTCGTCTTTACTACCCTAAATTACCACACACACATTCAATTGACTGCAATAGATCTATAAATCTTCTGTTCAGGATAATCCTCGTAATCAGTATCAGCTGTTAATTAGCAAGTCGCCTGCTTCCACGTCAAGTGTGCATCTATAAATGACCCTGTGTGATGTGCAGTGGTGACGAATGCACCACCACATCCACACCCCACTCGGCTCATTTATCAATGTCAGTCGGGAAATAGCGGGTCAATAGCGGTTACGCTGCTTGTTCAGACATACATCCAAAGCTCTACCGGAATAAATTAAGGAGTTGGGTTGGGATTTGAGCAGATTCACGCCAGCAATCGCCGCTTGCGCGATGATTTATGAGCTGGTGAAGGCCTGCTGTCTATATAGGGAGTTCTCAAAAGATGGTAAAGGACTTTTCAGCGAAAATTAGGAAAAAAGGGAAGCTGAGAAAATCTCTAAAAATAATTCAGGGACTTAAAAATAGATACGATAATCTTTAAGTAATCAAACTAAATAATCAAATCCAGATTTGCTCTTGACATTATGTTTTATTCGAAACGTTATTGGTCATAAATTAAAAAGGTAACTAATATAGCCAACAGAAGAACATACCGCTTAAATTTCAAGCAATCAGGCTAATTTTTAGTTCATATTACCTTATTTCTAACTAGAAAAAACGCAATGAAAGAGCTGAATTAATTCTTTCGTGATTAACAGAAGATAATTTTTGAGAGCATTTTCTTAATTTTGCTAAAACAAACTACGGCAAAACCTCTACTCCATTCTCTCCAAT